ATCTAGATTTCCAAATAAAAACCGATAATTTCACATGTGAAATAAACGTGGTTATTTCACTCTCTGACGTCATACAACAATAGGCGTTGTCAAGACGTCGATAACGTCGGATCAAAACAAATTGTGAATGCGTAGAAAAAAGATATAGTTCCTAACATTTTCTACATTAATTTCATTAAAAAAAGCCATTTGCCAATGTAATAAAAAGAATAACTAATCAAAGAATTCAAATATCGAAAAATATTCAACTCGTGACCGAACAACACTGATAATTAACTCATGCGCTACGCGCATTCGTGAATTAATGTGTTGTTCGGTCACTCGTTGAATATTTTTCTCTATTTGAATTCTTCGATTAGTTATTCTATAAATATTAAATAAGCTTCGATTTATTCACTTATTACTGTTGTTACATTTATAACTACGAATTACGAATTTAGATATTGGATTTCGAATTTCGAAATTTAAACCTAAGATATTGAATTTAAATTTTGAATTTCGAATGACCCATTTGGTCTTTCATAGATTATTGAAACACGTGAAATTAATCCATTTAACGATGTAAAAACATTTCTGTAAATGTAGGTTAAATTCTGTAATAGTTATCCCATGAGGACGCGGTGTGTTAGTGTAAGATCACCCCAATGGCTGGAGGCCAGAGGGTGATCTTACACTGACACACCAAGTCCGAATGGGATAACTATTTTACATCCCAGCTGTTTTAGATTAGACGAAAAACCATTTACAATTCATAAAATCTAGTTTTATAATATACTTTCTATATTACTATATAATATATACCCTTTATGTCCCCCGAACACGATGTTTAAATATGAAACCATGTCAACTCGCCCCACTGGCCAATCGCCCCACACTAAATCGCCACTTTCTAAAAAATCGCCCCACTCTTGTTTAACAACTCACCCCACTTATGAATAAGGGTAAAATTCCATTGAACAATCAGTCTGACAACTCGCCTTATTTATGAAAAGGGTTAAAATCCCACTGAATAAAGGTCTGTAAACTCGCCCCACTTATGAAAATATCTTGCTTCCTTTAAATATGTTAAATTACTGAGAATTGGTATCCAGTCGTCCTGGTCTAGGGGTATGTGTCGTGGGTTAATATGCTAAAGGTCTTCAGTTCAAATCCCAGCATAGACATTGGATTTTTTCTACATAAAGTTTGAAAGTGTGTCTTTTCTCAATAAATAATTCTAAGTTTTATTGTGGATTAGGCATTCCCGCCAAAATATTACAAAACAAAGGAAAGCATGCAAAAGAAAGAAACTCAAGCTGGGGTGATCTGGTAGGGATGATCCGGCTCAGATCACCCCTGGTAGAACAAAGGAGCTGGGATGTAAGAATAATTCAAATTGAATGATCATATTCTCGTATGATCATTCAATTTCAGTTATTCAGAATTTAACCTACATTTACAGAAATGTTTTTACATCGTTAAATGGATTAATTTCACGTGTTTCAATAATCTATGAAAGACCAAATTCATACTGCTATTTGTTCGTTGACATCAATGCATTTGTGTAAGGAGTTGACAAGATAAATCAAATTCCAAGGAAACCGTTGTGTTGATAAAGTGAACAATGGTCATTCTCACATTGGTATACATAAATAACACTTAGGTGACATGTATTTATATTATTAATCGAATATTTTTAAGGATTTGTGATTCGTTAAAACTTGATCACATGTACATTTGTATTTGCTCAGTTTGCACGCCAATACTGTTGTGTTTTGCTTTTCGTAGGTCAAAAACAGCATATTGCACAGGGCATACAGCATGTTACTAAAAATAGATTCTAGAAATCCCCAATTTTACATTGTTCATGCTATAGTTGTTGATTAATAATATAACAATTATAGCCTTTGGTTGAGGTCAATACGATGTTATATCGACCCAGAGAAGCATATCGACCTCGGACTTCGTCCTCAGTCAATATGCTTCTCTTAGGTCGATATAACCTCGTATCGACCTCATACAAAGGCTATAATTGTATAATATATTGCATAAAATACATATTTCGAAGCATCGGTGATCAAAAGTAGAATGAATAGTTGTAACATATTGAGGTGGCAACATCAATATATGTGTTGCAATTAAATTTATTGTTTCCTTTACGGTGTAACGTATAGTGGCAAATATTTCGTGACTATGTTTACGATAATAAGTAAATTATGATTCGCTGTGTTTCTGTATACCATTGTAACAACAAAGATTTCTCAGAATAAAATATATATACAAGAAGTACTATGAAACTCCTCACACAATATTTTTGAAAGGATTAATTTATTCAATTTTATTCTTTAAATAAAGAATCTATGTAAATGAAAATGTTAATGGACATTCAGGAATAAATTTAAAAGGAAAAGGTATTTTCAGAACAAAAAGAAGTTAAACAGAAGTTTTCTCTTGAAAATTTGGACATGTAATTTCTTGTTATTTTAATGTACATGAAGGTAAAGTATCATAGCTGTCTCATTGAAGTATACCCCACTGACGACTATTGACTATTTGTCTAATTGAAACAGGCCTCACGTTTACTCGTATTCAACTTATGAATGTTTTTGTTTACAAAACTAGGAATGCAACTCCCTCAAATAAATTTAACTTTTAAAGGTTTTGTCTATTGTTTATGACCCTTTCAGTTACCAGTATATTACACAACGCTTAGAAAAAATTGGATTCAACTCCTTTAGATTGAACTTAAAAAATGTGAGACCAAGTGCTTCTACAGGCCTAGGGTAAAAGAGGGTAAAAGAGGGACGAAAGATACCAGAGGGACAGTCAAACTCATAGATCGAAAACAAACTGACAACGCCATGGCCAAAAATAAAAAGACAAACAGACAAATAATAGTACAGATGACACAACATGGAAAACTAAAGACTAAGCAACACGAACTCCACCAAAAACTGGGGGTGATCTCAGGTGCTCCGGAAGGGTAAGCAGATCCTGTAAGTGTTTCATGCTATTCATGCATTATCTTCCATTCTAATTCACATAGGACACAATCGGTACTACAGTTGAAGACGGTGAATTATTTAAATATTTTACACTTCAGAGGGGTGTTTAACGAGTGCGGAATCTTAGACAATGACTCTTTAATGGGACCTGGAACGGGACAAACTGGATATGCTGGTTTTAAAAATTCGACAAAGATATATTTGGATTTTTATAAACCCCCAAAGTAAATGATTGGGTATTTACCCCCAGAAATGATGAACTACAAAAAACGCGGTACAGTGGTATGTGGACACTTTTGTTTGTAGGTTTTAAAGATGCTATCAGAAGGTCAAAAGTAATGCTTTCATTAATACGGTAAACACATTGTAGACAAATTTGGATGTTATGAAAAAAGAGAGGCTAGCATGGTTATTCTGCACGAAGACATCAACATTAATTATCATCATATTCTAGACCTGGGATGCCCTAAAGCAGCAAGGATGCTATTTCAATATTATGCAACAACTAAAAAACTTTAAGAATTACTAAGATACGTACATCAAGGAACTAACAAAAACAATGCAGTGTAAAATGGACAATTCAGAATGTGTGTCAATCAACGGTATTAAGATGAATGCAGACCTAGATATGCATAAGGCTGCAGATGAACCGATGACAATAGCCTGGTACACAAAAAATTCGTAAGAATTGATCACCACCATGCAACAAACAATCAACGCAATGGTGGAACGCATGTTGTTGAATATTCGTTCAATTGAAACATGGTTCAATGTCAAGACAAAAAAGTTTGTAATTAATTCATATCCGATTGCTTGATCTATGAGTTGAATGTCGCGTGATAAACTCCCCATTTGTCATAGACCTCTTCTACTTTAATCCAGGTTCATCTTTGCAAGACCTTTCAATGTGGTATACATCTTGATCCGTCTTCTTAAGTTCAGGCTTGTAAAAGGATCCCTGGATTTCTTTATTGTTAAAATCTTTGAGATTGTAGTTAATTAAGTGTTTGAGAACTTAACACTTTGGAAATAGTAAACACTTCTTCGGTCCACCTATGTGTATATCCCTTTTTCCTGGTGATTTCCCACACTGAAATTAGATTTTTGCATATGGGAATGTTTCCATGGAGGTTCAAGTACACCTTGTGTTCATGTTTCTTTCGACTTGCTGTTATGAGAGTCATTCTGATGGATCTGTGTTTAGTTGTGTGAACATATGAACATTCTTGGATTACACGATGTCTCCCTAGCTTTACTTTAAAACATAAATTTTGTATTTCCAGCAATTTAAAAAAATATATTTTTAAGCCAAGGAGAAAGGAATTGAATTTTATCATTATTGTCAACAATGTCGGAGATATCCGAGTATTAGTATTTATTCTAAACAGTGTACTTTATTTCTGAAAACTATCCATCATCTTTCAAGATGAAGAACAGCGAGAAGCATATTAACTTGCATCCCTGCAATTCCCAGAAAAAAACAGTTATCACGCGTTTCTTTGCATATTTTTCTGGGGATAGTTTTTCCTTAAAGGGATACATCTTCCTCTAAAATATTATTTTCTGATGTAATTAGACCTAATGTATATCTTGTATTATATTTTTATCATTTCTCACATGGAACCCATATTAAATGGGTGCAAAAATTCTATTTATGGAAGCCATATTAAATGGGTGCAAAATTCTATTTATGGAAGCCATATTAAATGTGTGCAAAAATTCTATTTATGAATCTCAGCGTCTTCCGTCTTGAGGTGTTCCTCCTTTTTCATTTCTATTTTTGTCCTTAAGATAATTTGAAGATAAACGGTTGCTATCGACAAACATGTGTTTACTACTATATTAAACAAATTGATTATTGTCATGATGACTTGCAAATGCTTTGAATGTTTGGCATATCTGTCTTCTTGACGTGTACCTTACATTTCGTTTTTATTTAATTATATATTGATACCTTATTTCAATGCAACTTTTAAAGCACTCTATTTAATAAGTTAAGGATAAAAATATGAAAAGAAGTCAACTTGTGGTTTGTGTGTGTGCACTTAACAAAATATCTCCGATCATAAAATTAAATGTATTCAGTAATGTTAATTGTACAGACTTAGGTCCTCTGACCAAATATTTAAATCATGTGACTATCCGTTTTACAAATTCCAAAGGACAATTGAGGTACGTTTTTTTGTTTCATTGGTTCTATGTGTTGTGTCGATACTTGGGGTGTTTTTGTATCGTCTTCTGTTTTTATAGTTGGACCTTAAATATAATGGACACAAATTCAGGCTAGATCTTTATTCTTGTTATCAAGTGACCAAGTGAACATTTAATTACAGTTGTACATAAATGCGATATCAAATAAACAACATACATTCATATACTGAATTTTAAATACAAGTTCTGTAGATTTCAAACTCATCTATTAACAAGGGAACTAACTCACATTTATGAATTCTTTAAAAACATATAAAAATAAATTCAAAAGTCAACATTGGATTGTTCCTGCCTTTTTACCAAACTAAATATTTTATTTTAAATGTATAACAATGAACACCATAAGAACTATACCTCATCCTCATTTATCATCTCAACATTTCAAGCTCAAATTGAACTGGCAGTACATTTTATTATTCATATTAAATAAGGACTTCTATTGTAAAATGAGTGATTAGACTTTAAAGACATAATTATTGAAAGACTTCCAATCAATATATTTATACTTATATCTTAGCAACTAAAAGTGATAAACCTGATTTTAATAATCAAGATGTACCGTTGACATAAACATTTTCTCCTATCGACCAAACCTATCTATTTTCGCCATCCCAAAACTTACAGCTTATTGTTCAGTTTCCTGAATATCTTAGAGTTGAACTTATCTATAAATATCATTTTAAATATTCCTTAGATTCCTATTATTTCTGAAATTGTATTATTCACACGAGCATCTTTCTAAACAATATCAAATTATGTCCCTTTAATATAATAAAAATAAAACCAATAGCTGCTCACACATGCAATCTTTACGGAACTTATCATATGCCTGATTTCTTAATTAATTTACTTAATATTCAACAAACCTACAATCCTTACAATTTGTAGATAAACTTGTGTTAAACGAATAAGTTCTTTTATCTTCAATTCGAACAATGTTATATTTTATATTTAAAATAAATCTGTTAAATTATTATTCATACTTATTTGTTTTAAACATGTATACTTTACATACCTTAAATATAATGGACACAAATTCAGGCTAGATCTTTATTCTTGTTATCAAGTGACCAAGTGAAGTTTTAATATCAAAATTTATCCCTTAAAACCTTTTCCTCACGTGGTCACGCCAAGATCAGCCTAAAATTGCTTGCCCAATCAAAAGTTAATTTATTCCCCAATTTACAACTAATTTGAGTTACTCCTCCCTCCCACTATTTTACAATAGACAATTATTTTTTTATAAAATAATCGCTTTGCCTTCGGCGGGACGCTATCCCTATTGATAATGATTTATTGTCTAAAATGTGCCCCTTCTCATAATTACTTAAGCTTAATTTATTTCAGGGGGATTAACATGTCACAATCTTTTTGATAATGTTTTATAAAATTTCCTGTTACATAATATTGTGTTGTAACTTTGTTTAAGACTTTTTAAACCAATATAATTTAGTTTCTTGAAAATATGAACCTTTCTATTTTAAATTACGATTCTAACTTTCTTTGTAAATTCAACAAATCTTTACTTTATTTCTTTAATATTCTTTCATTTATTAAATATTCTTCTATTCTATTTTGAATGAATATTTACTACGTCACAAATACCCTGTCGGACAAAAAAACTTTGGTCCCTCAAAGTTAATTGTATCCTAAAAATATTATCAAAAACACTGTCGATATAAAAATAACAAAAAATAACATATATACATGTACATCAATTTTTATGTATTTTACATTTTTAACCTGGATTCATTTTCAATCATGGTTTTTTGTATTTGTTTTACCCATGATTGAATCAATTGTTCTGATGGATGAACACCATCCACCAGTTTAGCATATGCATATCTTTTCTTTGATCCAGTAGACTTGTGGACATATGCTTGTATTAATGGAGTAGCCCATTCAGATGTTTCATTGTGTCTTATAATATATAAATTTATTTGATGAACAGCCCAATTTAAGCTGTCTTGCATTTTCGTATAGTTTTCTGTATGAAGAAGAAATTTTGTTTTTTTCATATCAAATCTCTGACAGTTCCATTTTTCAATATTCATTGTTGTAATTGGAACATAAATGACATAGCAATTTATTTTACTTAATCTTTGTGTAATAGTTTCTAAAGTATGTTTAATTTCCATAACTTTGTCACAATTTAGGTCAAAATACACTTCTTCATATGCTTTCTTGTAGTCTTTGTCTTTTATACAAATGTCGGGAATTCCTGCCATAATATAAACTAATTTTTTTTCTTTTATATTTTTCAATTTTTGAAATGCAATTTCACAAAGATCGAAAAGTTTGGCCCCTGGTTTTACAAAAAATTCTTTGCATTTAATTTCTTGCTTGATTCCACGTCCTCTACTGGATGAAAAGAAGTAGCTATGGTTAAATATCTATAACAAAATAATACAAAATATGAGTAATATTTCTCATTCATGCAATAATACAAACATAATATATCATATACTTTCAATTAATACATTTTCACAAATAAAACATATTTACATTTTTGTTAACAAGTAAAAAAACAGAATACGAGATAATTTTTGTATAAAGGTAACGAGGTCGCGCAATATACGGAAAAATACATTATATTCGGTTATTTCTTGTAACATCTATCCATGAATCAGTATCTACACATTTAATTTTCCACATGGAACACTGATATAGTTGAATGTTCAATCCTTCTATGTTGAATTTTCCTTTGAACACATATTGAAGTTGTGTTGGTATTCCTCGCAGTATTTCGATATCATTTTGTTCCTTTGAATTCTTCAGTTTATCGCATATCCAATGATTCTTATGTTACTTAATCCAGTGCCCTTTTTCGCAATCTTAACCTTACTATGTTATGTTATATTAGACAAGATAGAAAATACTCATGGTCAGGCAATTATTGACAAAACTCAAGGCTCGTTTATAACTTTGTACATATTATTATGTTTTAATAAAATATAGACAAAAAATGGTTGTTTCAAAATCTGTTTTACACGTAAAGCTTCCCAAAAAGAAATTTTAATGTTTTTAGGACCTACTATAGATTTTTGTGTTAAAGTGTTTGTTATTATAAAATCATCCCAATTAATATGTAAACTAGGTCTAAAGATTCCAGAAACACTGAGACTTTTAACTTCTGGTGGCATTGAAAAAGTCCAGTATGATGGACATAGTGGCAATTTGCATAGGGGAAGAGTTAAGCAGTTTGATCCTGTGGTTATTTCTAATGAAATAAATGTATGTTGTGAACTTTTTCTCTTTTTGTATAACATAAGGAAAACCACAATGACAATCAAAATACCAATTATGGCCACCAGAATATGATTGAACTTTAGTTCTTTAAAAAGATTTGATGTAATTGGGTTTGATGTGGTTGTTTGAATGTTTTTATAAATAAATGATGGGGCAGTCATAGATTTTACATGGCAAGATCCTTGAAGTATTATAAGAGCAGTTGTTAGTTTTTTTATTTTAAAGAATGCCCATATGGCAAAAATAAATGATATGGATGCTAACACTGTTCCTATCATGCCTAAAATACCATTTAAATCAGGCCAATTATCTTTAACATTTATGATTCCTTCTAGGAGAGGCTCAGCCAAATTATGAAAAACCATACCTTCTTGTTTTGTAGCTTCAGCCATCTTTGTGAGGCTTAAATGATCTCTTTTATCATTTGACAAAAATGTTGAAAAGGAATGATTATACATTTTAAAGTTTGGAATTGCAATATTTGGTAAAGTACTAAAAGTAGAATTTGGTTGAATATCTTTTAATTGTTCCGCATTAAAAAATTGTTGTAATAAAGCAAGATTTATTGGATAAATAGTAGTAATATTATTTGATGTTTTACAATTTGTAAAAGATGGTGGAATATACAAATTTGTGGTTAAAATAGAACACCTGCATGGGATTTGAATTATACAAAAATCACAACCTTGTTTTATTATTTGTTTTCCATTACAATCCATATTTAATTGTGTAGTTTTATAGATTACGACAGACGATTGTGTTAAAGCAACAATTTTTGGTTTTATAACATCATGTAAGAATCGGAAATCACAAAACTGGTTAACTTTCTCTTTCTGATTATTATATATTGACATTAAACATGAACTTTTACTAGTTGAAAAGGATTTCGTAAACTGGCAATGGAAGTTATCATCATATTTGGTACATTTTTCTAATTCTTGGTCTGACAATTTTATATAATACTGTTTATCTTTGGTAATAGCTACATATTGAGGTGTATTTAACAATTGGGTAGCATGAGTTGTTGAATTATGTGGAAATGGTAATGACGTTACTTTATATAAGTCAAGTTTTGACATCTTATATGCTAAAGGTATGTTTAGCATCACAAATATATCAGATTTGTGTTTTGAAAATACAAAATTTTTGGTATCATAATAAAAATTTTGACTGGTTTGTGAAATATAAAATCCTGGGTATTTTGTATTTAATACCTGTTGGATCCTATTTATTGTGTTAGTTATAGTTGAAGGTTTTATTAGTAAGGGAGACAATTTTCCCTGAACTAAATCAAAAATTCCCAATTTCAATTGTTCTAGTTGTTGATTAATTTTTGAAGATAATGAAAATGATTCTATTATCTTTGCTTGAAGATGTAGAAATAAATTTTCCGCATCTCTGACATTGTCTAATACTGATTTTTGCATCATATTAATTTCATTATGATTGTCTGATATTTGTGTAACTAGGTTTGAAATTCTTTTATCCACAGATGCCATATATGAAGATTCATGTTGATCATGTTGAGCCATTGTATTTGTTAACTTTAATGTTCTAGTAGTTAAGGCATTTATGTGCCTTGCCAATAAGTTTACATCGTCCATAGTTGCTGTATTAAACAGAGTTTTTGATAATTGCCCCACGAAAGATAAAATTGCTCTTTTAGATTTTCTTCTACCTTTGACTAGTGTTGGTTTGTTGGTTGGTATTAATTGTTTTATCACATTTACGGTTTCGTTTAAATAGACCACATTTTGCTTCTGCAACATATCTAGTTGTACAATCATTTCATTGTATCTTCTGCATATTTGTTTTTGTTTACATTGTTGAATTTCTACACTTCCCTTCTTTATTGGCATTTTAATTTGAAAGGTATGTTTCCAGACATCTTTTCCAAAATGAATTCTACCTTGTTTTTCAAATATAATGCCATAATTTAGTTTAAGGATTTGTTTGTGAGTAGACTTTGCTTCACTTAACTGAATGAATGCTGCTAACATGATGAATATCCAAAACAAAATGGCAATTGGGCTGATCAAAGCAGACACCTGTCTTTTTATCTACAACGAGAGAATTTTTGTCTGTTAGATCCAAGATACATACATTAGAAATCGTACGTTTTTCTTATGTATTAGCACTAATTTATCTTTTTAGTTTTACCTAAATTGATTTATTCTTATGATTCTAACAAAGAAAGTTCAATTATTGCTCATGTTTTGATAATTTTGTTTTGTTTGCCGTAATGAAATTTATCATGTATTTGGTCACTCTACAAATCATACTTTTTCATTTTCTCTTTATTTTATCATTATTCCCTCATTATTTTACTATGCGCATAGTTTTGGGGTAACTTTTTTTTTATTTCCTTTTATACTTTTGACATTGCTCATTATTGAATATCTTTTTGCTTGACTATATAGGATTAATTTTTTTTTTTTTTTCTCCTAATTTTTATAGCTAAAGCTTAAAACTTAATCTTTATTCTATATATTTTCTCATTTAATCTTTATTTTGCTTTTGAAAACATGTTGTATGTTTTCTTTTTCTTATTTTACCATCTTTGGTATGTTTATTGTGAAAGTCAACCAACAAACCTTCACCAATGTCTTTTTCAGGTATCCAGGTTGTATTTTTATATCCAACCCATTTGACCCTGTAAAAATTTTGCCCATTTTGTCTTTTTTTTGCTAATAGTTTTTCAGCTTCAAATTGATTATCATCAATTGTCTCATCATTCTCTTGATTATCATTATTATCATTTTCTTGAATATCATTATTATCCTTTTCTTGAATATCATTATTATCATTTTCTTGAATATCATTATTATCATTTTCTTGAATATGTTCTTCGTTGTTTTGCTGTCCGTCATCTATATTGTCAGTCTGTTGTTCATCTACTTGTCTATCTATTTGGGGTTGCCTATGGTCCCTAGGATCCTCATATATTTTTATCCTATTTGCATGAATTCTTGACTTTATTAATTTATGATCACTTAACCTCCTCAATTTATAAGTGTTTTCATTGGCATGGTTAATGTAAAAAGGACCTACCCATTTTTCATGGAGCTTAGGCGCTGAACCTTTTGGTACTTTCATGCACTGCATTAAAACTCGGTCTCCTACCTGAAATTTTGGTTTTGCTGCCTTCTTGTCATAGTATGTCTTAGTTTTCTCTTGACTTTTACTTACATTATTCTTGGCAATTGTTTGTACTGCTTTTAAGTGGTCTATCAGATCATTAATATGTTCTCTTACTGACCTACCTATGTTTTCTTTCGGCTTAACTGAGATATCAAATGGTATGTTCATTTCTTTACCGAAAACCATATGGAATGGGGAGTAACCTGTTGACTCTGTATTTGGTGACATCCGTAAAGCCATCATAACACTAGGAATAAGCTCTGGCCAATTCATTTGGTCTTTAGTACAGTATGTACGTAAGGTCTGAGCTATTGTACTATTCATTCTTTCACACGTTGTATTTGATTGTGGGTGATATGAACTGGTTGTGTGACGTGTAACATGGAAAAGTTCACATAAAGCCTGTATGAGCTTTGAGCAGAAATTTTGACCTCTATCAGATACCAAAGTTTTAGGACTTCCGAACCGAGTAAATACCTCTTTGTACAAAATATTGGCAATTTCCTTAGCTTCTTGTGTTCTCAGTGGGAATGCTTCAGCCCATCGTGAGAAACTGTCAACCACTAGTAATACATGTTGATACTTATCTTTACTTGTGGGAAATCCTGATAAAATATCCATGTGCCATCTTTCAAATGTTTCTGCAACTGGTAGAGGCATTAATGGTGCTGGTCGTTTATTTGTTGGTCTTTTTGCTCTCTGACATGCATCACAAGAAATGACATAGTTGTAAACATTTTGATACATACCGGACCAGTAGTATTTTTGCTGTAAAGCTGCATATGTTCTACGAAAACCTTTATGACCTCCACCAGCTCTACAATCATGGTATGCTTCTAAAGCTTCTTGCCTCATAATTTTTGGAAGTACAATTTGTTCTATCATCACTTCTGACCTAGGTACTCCTTTTGTTCTAGGTAGGTATTGATGTATTAACTCACCTTCTGTACCAAATCTGTACAGGTCTTTTTCATATGTTATACTTTTTGCCTTTTTATCATTTTCAGGTAATATGCCTTTCTCTAGAAAGGTTATTAAGTCTGACAATTCTGTACATTGTCTTTGTAGCTTTGCTATTTCTGACATGTCATTTAATCTTACCTGAGTGTCTTCTGTATCATTAATGGCAGCAATGCATGGATTTTGAATATCATATTCAAATGTGATTTCTTTTAACATACTTGCATCTTCTGGTTCATTTGTTTCTACACTTTTTATTTTAACTTGGTTAATATCTACCTTTTCGGGGGTGGGTGGGTAGGGGATTCTTGAGATTGCATCTGCATTTTTGTTATTTTTACCTTCTTTGAAGATTATATCAAAGGTGAAATTCTGTAACTCTAACGCCCATCTTCCTAATTTTGCATTTGTATCTTTAACCTTATTTAGCCATAATAAAGCTTTATGGTCAGTGAAAACAGTGAATTTGTCATGGGATAAGTAAACCCTATTGTGTTTGATGCCTTCTAACACAGCCAAACATTCTTTTTCACTAACAGTCCATTTCTTTTCTTCCTTTTTCAGAGCCCGACCACCAAAAGACATTACTCTTTCCCTATTCTGGTCATCTTTTTGACCAAGTATATACCCTATAGCTTGACCTGATGCATCTGTAGTTAGAATAAAAGGTTTTGACATGTCTGGGAATGCCAAAATTGGTGCTGATATTAGTTTTGATTTTAATAATTCAAATGCTTCTTGGCATCTCTCTGTCCATTTGAATTCACTTTCCTTTTGTAGTAGGGAATTTAATGGAATTGTTATTTTTGCATAGCCTTCCACAAATTTTCTGTAATAGTTACATAAGCCTAGAAATTGTCGTACCTCATGCTGGTTTTTAGGAGCTGGGTGATTTTTGACAATATGAATCTTTTCAGGATCTGTTTGAACCCCTTCTTTTGTCAAAATATGGCCTAAGTAGTTTACTTGTTTAACTCCAAAGTGACATTTGCTTGGCTTTAGTTTAAGGTTAGCTTTTTTTAGTCTGTCAAAAACTTGATCTAAATGATGCATATGATCTTCTAAATTTTTACTAAATACCAGAATATCATCTATGTAAGCCAATACATTTTTCCAGTTTAGACCTTGTAATACTTGACTTATAACTCGTGAAAAAGTAATACTGCTGTTTCTCAGACCAAATGGCATTCTTGTCCATTCATATATTCCTGAATGGGTTACAAAAGCAGCTTTTTCCCGTGATTCTTTGTGGAGTGGGACTTGCCAATATCCCTGACAAAGATCGAGACTAGTAAATATAGTGGCTCGCGCTTCCCCAATAGCGTCAAAAACGTCATTTAAGCTTGCTAAAGGCCAGCATTCTACAGATGTTTTAGAATTTAGCTTGCGATAGTCTACACAAAATCTAAAGGACTTATCTTTTTTCTGACAGAGCACCACTGGGCTGTTGTATGGGGAAGTGGATGGTTCAATAATTTTGTTCTCTAACATTTTGTCAATTTGTTTTTCTATTTCAGCTTTGACCTTGGGTGTTGCTCTGTATGGGGGTACTCTAATAGGAATGTTGTCAGTTGTTTCAATTTTATGTTCCCCTATATTACATTTCCCCAATTCAGACAAGTCAGCTGCAAACACATCTCTATTTACATTTAAAAATTTCAGAAATTTTTGTTTCTGATCAATTGTCATGTCTGATGAGTCAAGGTCAAAATCAATTTTACTTTTAGTTCTTTTACTTTTTTCCCTCTTCATTTTTGAACTATTTATATTTGCTACTCTTTTGTTTTTTTGTTTTTCACTTTCATCATCATTCATGTTTTGAATACTGTCTTCAACCACTGGCATCACATTTGCTATTATGCTAAATTTAGGTATTGTGACTGCCATATCAGTAGGGTTAATAATTTGAAGTTTTGAACCCGATTTAGAAACTTTTACTAAACAAGAGGCTCCTATTAGTTCATATTTATTTAGTAAAGGTAGTGGTTCTAATAACACTACATCATTCAAAAAAATATCTGAAATTTTTACTGAAACATTTGCCATACTATTAGCAGGCACCTTGAATCTTTTAGAAGTTCTTGCTTTTCCAGATTTTGTACTAAGGAGGGAGACTTGTAGTGACCCTTCATGTAAATATAGTGTACGGGAGGGATAATGGATATTACATTTATTCTGTAATAAAAATTCATCACCTAAAATTACAGGATATTGTAAATCTTGAACTACATGAAATTTATGTTTAATGACAAGTCCTTGAAATTTAAGTGGGAGTGTAACTTTACCCAGTACTTTGTGTTCTTCACCTCCTACTCCATAAATATTCATAAAATTTGTTTTCTCAAGCTCTATTTTACTATGATTCAACTTATTTATCAAGTTTTCTGAGACACATGAGATAGATGCACCTGTATCAACAAGTCCTATTGTTTTAACACCATAAATTTCTATTGTAATTTTATTTTTATCCATGGGGGTAATTAAGTTAACTCTTGGAGACTTGCCACTATGCCCATTTTTAGACAGTCGCCTAAAAATAGGCTCGCGTCCCTAATGCCTAATAATTTCGCCTCTTATGTTTCTAATACTATGACATTGCCTTGAGTAGTGTCCAACTCTTTCACATTTATAACATGTTTTGTCTCTTGCATCGCAAGTTTCCCTTTTGCCTGAACATGACATATTGCCACATGCTGTGCATGTGTTGGTCTTATTATATGAGTTCCTGGCATTTGTATTGTAAGCTGGTCTGGCTTGTTGAAAATTTGAATTTTTTTGAAAATTTCTTTGACCATTAAAGTTTCTGCCAGGAGCATTATTATTTTGCCAATTTGGCTTGTTTTGGTAATTTTGATTGGCCTTGCCAAAGTTAGCCTTTAGTTCTTGGTTCTCAATATTTAAATTTTCTACCTTGTCAGATAATAATTTAATTGTATCACTTAACGATTTAAAGTCATTTTGTGAAATGGCATTGACTGAAATTTGCTGGCTAAAGTTTGATGCTAAGCATTTTTCTGCAATGACGGCGGCTTCTCTTAATTCAGCCATGGTTTTCGGATTTTGCTGTATTATAGATTGTTGTAGTGCCTGTTTAAACCCTTTTCTTGCTATTTTTAGAACTAAGCATTCTGGGATGCGTTGACTTGTAGCTTTTAGAGTAAGTCTGTCTAAAAATTCATGTACACTCTCATTTGTCGCTTGTGTTGTCAAAATATCTTCATCATCTGATGTTGTAAATCTAACTTCTAGCAGTTTAATGATTGATGCTAGATTTGTTTTTGCTGAATCTGGCAAACTTTGAAACCAAATTTTAGCGGGGCCAGATAGATAAAATGTTAACGCATTTATGGCGTTTTTGTCTGTTAAGTTTTGTAGTTTTGTCCATGACGAAAATTGGGAAATCCATGATGATGGTTTTGAAGATCCGTCATAAGTTGACGGTTGAAGTAGTGCAGTTGCGTTAAAAATAAATGGTTGTACCTGTTGAACTTCTGGAGTTTGTTCTTGTTGTTGCATATTGGTCGCTGCTCCACCTTCTGTTTGTAATGTTATCGGTGTGCCACTTTCTGAATGAACTTCTGCTGTTGTACTCAGACTTGTACCTGTTGTTGTTCCCACAGTTTCTGTTCTTTGTTGCGTTGTTTCAATAGTTGTATTGATACTTTCTGCTCTTTGTTCTTCTGATTCTGTACCTCTGTTTGCTGATCGCAAGTTTCTATTCACTGGGGTGCTTGGCATTTCTGATGTAAGGTACCGTTTTCTTTTCACTCTCCTCCACCAAATCTGTTGTGTCGATACTTGGGGTGTTTTTGTATCGTCTTCTGTTTTTATAGTTGGACCTTAAATATAATGGACACAAATTCAGGCTAGATCTTTATTCTTGTTATCAAGTGACCAAGTGAACATTTAATTACAGTTGTACATAAATGCGATATCAAATAAACAACATACATTCATATACTGAATTTTAAATACAAGTTCTGTAGATTTCAAACTCATCTATTAACAAGGGAACTAACTCACATTTATGAATTCTTTAAAAACATATAAAAATAAATTCAAAAGTCAACATTGGATTGTTCCTGCCTTTTTACCAAACTAAATATTTTATTTTAAATGTATAACAATGAACACCATAAGAACTATACCTCATCCTCATTTATCATCTCAACATTTCAAGCTCAAATTGAACTGGCAGTACATTTTATTATTCATATTAAATAAGGACTTCTATTGTAAAATGAGTGATTAGACTTTAAAGACATAATTATTGAAAGACTTCCAATCAATATATTTATACTTATATCTTAGCAACTAAAAGTGATAAACCTGATTTTAATAATCAAGATGTACCGTTGACATAAACATTTTCTCCTATCGACCAAACCTATCTATTTTCGCCATCCCAAAACTTACAGCTTATTGTTCAGTTTCCTGAATATCTTAGAGTTGAACTTATCTATAAATATCATTTTAAATATTCCTTAGATTCCTATTATTTCTGAAATTGTATTATTCACACGAGCATCTTTCTAAACAATATCAAATTATGTCCCTTTAATATAATAAAAATAAAACCAATAGCTGCTCACACATGCAATCTTTACGGAACTTATCATATGCCTGATTTCTTAATTAATTTACTTAATATTCAACAAGCTTAATATCTAGAGTTAGTTTACATTTATTTCTTTTGATCAACTTTCCTTTTCTCTTCTACCATTGTGAAAATGTATGGTCTTTCACCAGGTCGATACTATTTGCTTATATTTTGGTATTGCACTAGGTCATGCTTTTCTCAGGCTGTTGATGGCGCCTTTATATGAATCGTATCTTATTATATGTGCTCTATAAAAAAACATCTCCGTAAAAATTAGGATGTGATATCCCGTTTTAAAGTCCACTTTGAAGATAAACCATCTATAACTATTATAAAAAGAAACCAAGGAATCATAGCCATAAGTCGGCGAAGGACAGACATCATGATGCCAATGAAAAAATGAAACTGTTCACAATAATATAATTTATTTCACTGTTTCGGTAATCAATAAAATAAAGGTTCCGCGGAACCCCGTGTCTTGCTTGCGACTTCTACTGATGTTGACTACCAAAAGACTTAATCTACTTACCAGCAAAGTACAGAAATTAAAAAAGAAAACAACTATAATGTTGCTAAGTGTGCTATCTCTTGATTGCAAAGTTTACTCTGTCTAAGATATGTAAAATTCAATAAAAGTTTGACAAACTTATCCAAGTTATAAAATCTTTTAAGAACAGACTGTACCTAATATCGAAAGCAGAAACGCCAATTAAATTCAATCATCAGTAACCTATGGGAAAATGGAGAGTAAAATCAAAAGTCCCTCTAGATGGTATCTATTAATTATAAAGAAGCTTCCGTAAAAGTTTCCTGAAATTACATGTAATGTATGATTTCTTAACCCAAGATTAACCTTAAGTCTTTAAACGAAAAGTCAAAAAATCTAAATTTTCTTCTAGTGATAGAAATATGTCGCCACATCGGGTTGAAATGGGGACATAAAAAACAATTCGTTTTCGAAAGAGAGTCACACTCTTAATTAGGTAAGGAGTCGTTCCGATAACTCATAAGGGGTTCGTAGGTGGCCTTTTCTAAGATTGAATTTTTGTTATTGTACTTACATAACCATTCCCTTGACAGATGACAGTTTGGATATGCTGTATTCATTTATGTAGATTGTATATGCAACATATTTCTTATATAGATTGCAGGATCATGGCCAGTAATTGGAGTGTTTGTGGTGTTTGTTATAATCGTCATATCATCAAACCATCAGAAGTCTGGTGTTCCGAATGTGACGAAGGACTATGTAGAGAGTGTAAGAAACATCACAGTGTTTCGAAGGATACACAAAACCATACTGTTAAATACAAGAAATTACCAACAGAGGTCGTTCAAATTGTCCAGGTCTGCAAAATACATAAGGAGAGATACGAGCTTTTTTGTAGAAAACACGATTGCCCTTGTTGTAAGATATGTGCAATTACTCACAACGATTGTGAAAGTTTATTCGACATCAATGAATACACAAAAAACGTCAAAACTTCAAATGCCTTTCATGAAATTGAACAAACACTGCTGGAAGTTGTCAATAATATTAAACGAATTATTACTAACCGGGAAGACAATCTAGAATCATTGAAAAACAAAGAAAAAGAAATTGAAGATGAAATCAAACAAATCAGGACCAAAATAAACAAACAACTTGATAGGCTTCAGGATGATTTGATATTTAATTTAATGGAGATTAAACAATTGGAGAGCAGCAAAATACAAAAGTTGTTGACCACTCTAAAAAATCAAGGAGAAGAGATCACAGAATATCAAGAAAACTTTACAATTATTAAACAACATGCGTCTGAACTTCAAATATTTTTGGCCATGAAGAATTTAGAAAAGGATATTGCAGTCAAGGAGCAATTTATCGAATCGATTACCAAAAGTGACTCCATGAATCAAGTAAATATATCATGCCAAGTTAACCATCTGTCTTTACAGGAAATCACAGCCAGCGTTCAGAGGTGTGTAAAAATTAATGTCAGTTCTAACCCATGCAACTTGTCAATTCAGAAACAGAAAGACATACAAGCCCAGATAAGTGTAGCTCATTCAACTAGAAAAATCGATAGCCTAACTCTTACATTACAGAACCATATCAATACTTGGTTGAAAAATGTTCGAGGGTGTTCTTTGCTCCCTGGTGGTAGGATGGTTTTCTCTTGTTTTTCACAGAACAAATTGTCAGTATTCAAATCTGTCGGACTACAAGATTTCGAAATAAAAAATATTGCTGATACGTTCGATGTGGTATATATTGGAAATGATTGTATTGCTGTGTCATCTGGCAAATCATTTCCGATTAATATAATCAACATAAAGAAAAACAAACGAGAGAAAACAATAAAAGTGAGCACATTTAGTGATGGAGTGAAATACAATGATGGAGTAGCATACATTGATGGAAATTTGATTTATTGTGGTAGGGAAGAAGGACTACGGATGATTAGTTGTTTTGACGGATCCGTTACCAATATTGTTTCCAATAACGAACTTTCTTATGCTTCTTACGTTACAACATTCAGAAACAAATTGTTCTACACAATTCATAGAGATGACAGTGTAACCTGTTGTGATTACCAGGGTAAAATACTGTGGACATTTAGTGATGCGAGTGTTTTGAAGACTCCACTCGGTATCTCTACAGACAATAATGGAAACGTGTTTGTAGCGGGAGCAAATACCGATAATGTAATTGTTTTCTCTCCTGATGGAAAACGCTATAGAGAACTTTTATCACACGAAGATGGACTAATCAGACCGCAGGTTTTGCACTATGATACATCCACTGATAAATTGTTAGTTGCAAATGAAAAAAACGATGCATTCTTGTATGACGTTAAATAAGAAGTTGTGATGTGAACTATTTCCAGTAGATAGCATACCTTATAGAACATTGCTTAGATCCAGATTTCTGGTCTATTCATGACGTTCAATAATAGTAAAAAGTGAAAGACCATCAACAGATACTATGTTAGAATCGTAATAAGGATTTAGGTTTTATAGTCCATAATGTAGTAGCAGTAAATTAGGAATACCTATGCATACCTTAATTGTTTACTTTTTATTAATTTGGTCTCGAGCTTAACAAATGACGCTTATTTTAGAAACATGTGATGTACGCACGGCATGCATACCACATGTTTTATTAGTTATTTTAGAATTTTAGAAAAGACATAATAAAAAAAAAATATCCCTTTCATAATCATGAAATTTTTAATTGAAAATTTATATTGCGAGCTTTATTAGTACTGCTTTTATGGTTTCAGTAGATGCACTTACAGTTGTTAAGCGCAGAGAAATAATTAAGTGTGACTATATGTCCTCTTGATTGAGATACACAAGATGCTTATCTATTTACATCGGATACGAGAAGAAATATATATATTATATGTTTTTACTTTTTGTTAATACGTGAAGACATGATTACTATAAGACAATATAAATCAACCTTGCTACTTGTTTATCGGAAGTATTTAGTTTTTATGAGACATATGTCTGCTATTCTAATGGCCTTAACTAATTGGAGATAGCTTAGAGAGAACTTTGTATTTCTATGGCTTATAATCTGAGGTTTTCCCGTCAACCTTAACCGCATTTAATTTTCGCACTTAGGCCAATTACTCACTTACAGCAAGTGCAGGATAAACCGTGTTTCATTTTAAGAGTGGTGGTAAGGATGATAGACTTTGATCACTTTCACTTAAAACTGTTGTTTAAGACAATATGTCTTGTTAATAAAACTCGCTACTGCAATCAATTGCAAAATAACTAAAACACTTTACATGAATATACATGTATTTCAATCTTATGCATAAATCTTCAAATTTTTGAATAAATTTCAGTTATATATTTTTTATATTTTATTACATTTTGAACTGGAGTATTAAATGAACCAAACAATAACTATTGCCAATTCGTTACAATGATATTTTGTAACACTTCACATAGCACAAAATTATCTAGCTTCGTACACTTATCTGATAATTTTGATGATTTGTTCTTTACAATTTAAGTTGTTAACGCTTCGTGTACCTCATGATTAGGTTGTTTTGTATACTAATCATATTATTGTTTGATAGCCTTTTACAGAAAATGACAAAAGACCCACATCTCATTAAATAATCCAAACTATTCAGCTTAGAAAATAGGAATACAATTATATAAATATATTTTTGTTTAGGCTGGAGTAGATATAGTATATATAAGTATAACGAATCATGAAAAAAGCAATAAACATTTTAAATTGGCATTTGATTTAGCTACAATTCAAACTTGTCGCACTAAATATGAAATGATGTAACGCACAAATATTCCCTTTCGTGTTTATTGATCTACGGTAAGACTTCTTGATCATATATGGACGGGAATTAGATCGATTTCGTATCTCAGAAATATTTCACTGTATAAAATAAGACTTGAAATAAAGAGGGAGAATAAATGAGGAACCAAATAAAGAATTGGAATTGAATAAGGCGAAAACAAAATCGATAGAGATTAAAACCGATCGTTTTAGATAACAATTGAAAAGGTACTTAGACAACTTAGACAAAAAAATAATGTTTGATTTTTTCTGTTTCAAACATTTATAAATATAGAAACAATATTTCGCTATTAGCAGTCAGTTTGGTTCAATTTCGTCAAAATAAGCTAAAAACATCGCTCGATAATTCAACTCCTTTGAATCCGTATTTAGGCAATTTTTATTCTGACCTTTGGTGAAGAAGGCTGCACATGTGCTCAACATGTGGTTCGTCCATTTAAAAGGAAAATAATGTCGATATTGAAAAGTAAAACAAGGGAGACATCATGAATAAACGTTTCGTTGACTGATCCGTCCAACCAAAATTCATTCGTATAAATCATAAATGTAAAACGATGGTATACATATATATGTGATTTATAACTTGAAATCAAACAGACCTAGAAAAATCGTCATTATACGATAATACGTGCTTGTCTGGTTTATTTATAGTTTATATCGGGTTATATGAATGTCGGAAGATATCGGATGTCTTTTTTTTTGTTTGAATATTATAAATTTTAGTATGTTATAAATCTAATATGAGAATTGGGTCATATCGATGATCATGAAATTGACAGTTAATGCCCATTTAATGTTTAAAGGAACTTTTATACATATATGCCATTTTTTTTAATCACAATTAGGTTACCTTCGTAAACAAAAACGGTGTCGGAAGACAACTCACAAATTCCAAAAATATATAGTTTTCATTTCTTTTCTTTGAAATAAGGGATATGATCAGCTACTTTCTGCTTAAAAAAGTCACTTCCGTTGTCATATGATAGCTTACTTCAGTGGCGGATCTAGGGGGGGGGGGGGGGGGGTCCGGGGGTTGGAACCCCTTTGTTTGACGATCAATGCATTTTGAATGGGGATATATAGTTGGAACCCCCCCTTTTAAAAATGGCTGGATCCGCCCCTGTACTTTTCACTAATTACAAAAATATATGGTTTCGATATATTTCTATTTGAAATATGGGAGATAATTGGCTATTTCTGATGTAAAATTGCCACTTTTTGTGTCATATCATAGCTTTCATTACACCGATTCTACAAATAATGGTTTCTATATACTTTCGCTTGCAATAAAGGAGATTATTTGCTACCTCTGGTTTACAAAATGTCCCTTGCTGTTCATCTGAAAGGTTAATTCACACTGATTCTGAAAATGTATGGTTACTAGGAACTTTTACATGAAATTAGTGCAAACATTGCAACTTCCGGTTGCCATGAGATGACCTGTAGGTCATATGTTGTCTAGCCTTATGGATTTATCATGTTCAATCAGAAGTTATAGCAAAGTTCAAATTTTGGAATGTCAAATTTAACTTTGAACCTGACCCGTATTCCAAGGTCAAATGTCATTGATCTCGTTTCAAAAGACCCCAGGAGCATTACAGTTATTGTTAAGAAGTTATCCCACCAAACAGCTCATTTCGAATAATTATGGGAGAAAACTCATATTAAAAGCCACCAGAACACATCGACATAATGTATTGGCATAGTGTCATGTCGCAACTTACAATTAACCTGATGTCAATAACTTTTACGGTTTCTGAGGAGTTGCGATAATAAGCAAACTTCAAACAAAGAACATGACCTTGAACTTAATTAATCTGCTTAATGACTAAGGACATTATTTCTAAAGCATCTAGGTCTCTATGACTTTTGGTTTAGGAGTTTCCACCCCCTCCTACATCAAAAACAAAAAAATAAATCAAAAACAAAAGACATTTCCGAAACGAAAGTGACGGAAGAAAAATAGAAATAAACAAAAACAAAAATGTCTTTAAACGGGAAAATGGAAAGACCTAATTGGACCAAATAACAACTATGATGAGGAGTAGACTATTTTCAAAACGTATAGTTGGTAATTATTGCTTGCTATAAAAAACAAAAAATTCTATAGCTATTGTTGGTTTTATAAAAATATGGAGATGTGGTATGATTGCCACTGAGACAAATATCCACCAAAGTTCAAATGAAGTAGATGTAAGCAATTATAGGCAATCGTAGACCTTCAACAATGAGAAAAACCCATACTGTATAATCGGCTTTAAAAGGCGCCGACATGTGAAATGTTAAACAATTCAATGAAGAAAACTAACGGCCTTATTTATAACAAAACAATTTTCGAAAAAAAAAATTGGATAGTGGTGTAACATCGTTTGTTGATGTGGTTCATAAGTGTTTCTCGTTTCTCGTTTTTTATATGGATATATGATATTTGGTTTTCCTGTTTGAATGGTTTTACACTAATCATTTTGGGGCCCTTTATAGCTTGCTGTTCGGTGTGAGCCAAGGCTCCGTGTTGAAGGCCGCACTTTGACCTTATAATGGTCTTATAACTTTTACAAATTGTGACTTGGATGGAGAGTTGTCTCATTGGCACTCATACCATATTTTCTTATATCTATTAACAGTACAACATAAGTTTAATTTAGACGTGAATCTAACGAGATATGTGATATATGAGAACACAAAACCCCAAAAGACAGATAGATAGATGTCAACAAGCGACCGACGTTTAAACAATATGATTGACTGTTTGTTGTTTAACACCAATTCCAACTTACTTGTCTATAGTGTGGCGACAAGTTTTTATTAGCGGTGAAAGCCGGATTGTCCAGCGAGAACCACAGTCCTTCGGCATGTAAACTGGCTAGAAGTAAATTTGTTATGCTACCCTGTTAAGTTGAAAAGAAAATTGAAATAGTTAGAAATTTATGTCGGCTACTGGTGTAGAGAAAGCGATAAATTTTGCGGAAACTCTTTGTGATTACCATTGTAAGTGCAAGGGGTGCTCTTCATTCATACTTCTTATAAAATTCGAGAATCATAAAGTACCCTTACAAAATACCATTTTCAATAATAAAAAAAGCAGCAGCACCGCATGTATTTTGTGGATTTATTCACACCCAAAGGTGTTGAAAATTCAGAATTTGACAGTTTTTTCAAATGATTATTATAGTGAAAATACAGAAAAACAAAAATGCTACCATTGTCTCTAATGCAAATAATTACTTCATTTTAACCTATAATTCTTATAAGCATTATGCACTAATTTATTCGTTTATTGTTATATTAAAATTAAATAACTCGAATTAATATCAAGCGATATCCAATTCTCACTCGTTATGAAACACATACATATAGCTTTCTGCGATTCTCTCAAGTATTCTGTCGTTCAGTACTGATTATATTAAAAGTTTGATATTTATTTAGGAAGAATACCTAAATATCTTATAGGTGTAACATTTAATATCAAAAGTTAGTTGTGTGGATTCGTTAAGCACAGACATCAATACTGACACATACCTTTTCTACATCAAGGCACTGTTTTTGGAACTGTCACATGTTACATTTATACAAAATTAAAACTTTGTAGACTTATCTGCACCAGATCATTTACAAAGAAGGAATGTTTAAAATACAATTACTATCATCAAATCAAAATGAGGCATATTTATATGAGATGTAATTTTAATATGTCATTATGAAAAATTAGTAACAAAGATACCGAACTCTTATGTTAATCAAAAAAGAGGACAGTCCACACTGTGTATCATCGCCACCGGAAATTGGGTACTAACGAAGCGGAGAGAAAAGGAAAAAAAAGTAAACAAGGTAAGAATTCATTCAATTTAAAGCATTTCTACTGATTTGACGAGGGTACCGCTGAAGAAATGATTTTCTGATATATAATTCTTTAAATTATTAGGCCGATAAGTACAAAATTAAGACAAGATTTTGTGTTATACTCAAGAACTTGCCACTTAGTACCTGAAAATTTCGAGGTCGATCATCCTCTGTCGCCCGATTGGCAATATATTCAACTGTTATTCATTATTTTTTCAGACACTTTTTTAGATTATTATAGTTTGGCATCATATTTACTGAAATTTGTTGTCAAAATGATGGTTAATAAAGAATATTGACCATAAAAAATAAAGTCTAGGGAACGGCAACTTGCTCATGTTGACAAATTTATTGTATGGCAACTTGTTTTCAACTGTATGGTAACTTGCTAATTTAAAAATATTTATTTGCCGTCTTTTTAAAGAAAATAAAGTATTAGGTTCAAATATCTTATTATGCATTTGATAAAAATACAATTCGCTTGACACCATTTAAGATGTATACACAATATAAGGCTTGAACACAGTCCTATTACATCTTTTACATACCTGATGTATACAATATGAATACGGCATATACAAAAGCTGGCAAATGTTGTAACTTTCGGAAAGGCATGTCACTGTTTTACTGACCTGTTGTTATGCCCCTGACGTAGCGTTAAATGTTACCCATGTCCGTTTAGTTTAAACATATTTTATTTGCTAAATATCAGCAAAATGGATGAGACACAAGTAAATCATACTTATGAAGTCTTCTCCATATTCCCATGTCCGTCCGACCTGTCTCTCCCGTCCGTCCAGAAAGTCCCAAAAATTGGTTTCCGTTCTCTAACTTTAGTATACCTTAACCAAATGTTATAAAACTTACACGAAATGCTTATCACCACAAAACACAGATCAAGTTATAAATTGGGTAGCGTCACTGTTACCGTTCTTGAGTTATGCACTTTTATTAATGAAAAAAAGCTAAAGCTGTCGTTTCTGTTCTCAAACTTTAGATTGCCTCGACCAAATGTTTTAACCATACAACATTAGTCCGCATTTGCATATAAGTGATGAACATTTCGGGGATGGGTTGTGGGTGGAGGGAAGGAAGGAGGTAAGGGCAGGAGAATTTTTCCGCATTGAATATTTAGAACCATTAAGTGAATGAATTCTCTTTCAACTTTCAGACAAAATGAAATATAAATGAATTATCATTCTCTGCAAAAGAAAAAAGTTGTATTGCTACACCATGGCACTATGTTAAGGGAGGTTTGAGTGCTCACAAACATGTTTAATCCCGCCTCAATATATATGTGTCTGTCCCTGGTCAGGAACATGTAATATAGCGGCTGTCGTAAGTTGCTGCCTGACATTTTTGTTTATGATTTTGTCATAAATCAGGCAATTTTGATACGGTATGGGTTTTGTTCATTGTGAAGTGTATAGTAACCAATAGTTGGTCAAATCTATTTCATTTGGACTTTGTTTGAAAGTCCTCTCAGTGAAAACCATTCCACGTCTCCTTTTTCAATTAATGTTATTGTCTTATTTGTAAAAGGCAGATGCAGCCAATATATTAGAATAAAGAACATTAATTTTCTAAAGAAAAAACTTCATCTCTATGTAGTAAGATATGAACAAGCTCGGTGGCTAACACTGTTTGAATTTTAAAAAAAATATTAAGCTTAGATTAATCATTTTTGGAAAGAATGAAAGAAGAATCCGATACAAAGGATACAAATCTGGCTGTGGCTACGGCATAAACTATTTATATAAACTTTCTTCTTGAGAATAAAGATGATCTTGTAAGAAGTTTTTTTGGTTGTCATCTTAATATTATATACTTATTAATACAATTCACAAAAGCTAGCATCTTCGACTTGTAAGTTTAAAGAATTATAATGAAATAACATCTAATAATGACAGGTTGAAAATTCAAATATTTTTGAATCCTGATGGTGCATACTCATAAATTCTTTTGGAAAAATCCACGTAAATTTAAATGTTGATTTGATAGCGTTCATTTATTCATTTGCCCTCGTAAACAGTTTTGTTAAAATACCGAAATCGGTAAATTCTTATCGTGAACGAATAAGTCGGGTACACCTTTTTACATTCAGGCGTGCTTAAGTTGCACTTTTTTCTTATTGAGAAAAATGATTTTAATTTTAGCATCTATCTAAAGATTAGATTATTTACACACACACAAAAATAGGGCTTACTGTTGATTTTGAAACTCTATGAATTCACATTTATATTCAACCAACCAGATAGGCCGAGATCCATACCTTTATAAGTTTCAAAACAGAGAAGGTGTGTTTGGAAACAAATAATCACGTACTGCTATATCTTTTAAGGTTCATGTGGACCCTTCGTCTAAAATGGCTGCATTTTCACCTCAAAATTTACTCTGAGTACAGACAAACCTGTGCATCTGGAAAAGTTTTAAGGCATAGCATGCCCTAGATAAATAAAATTCAAATATATTTTATGTTTTAGAAAATTAAAAACTTAACCGGATTTTGCAGTGCACTTTTTTTCATTCCACCAGAAGGTGCCAAAATAAACAAAGTTGGGAGAGAGGTTTGAGAACTTCCCCACAGGTAATAATTGAAGTGAACTGTTTTCATTGACATGGACAATAGATGGACAATAGATACCTGACAATAATTGGTGATTTAAACTGTGTACCTGAGTGGACCATATCAAGTGAAACTCAACTGTTTGTTAATTTTATCATCTTATGCAGGGCCGAAAAAAAGTGCACTGCTAAATCCAGTTAAGTTTTCAATTTTCTAAAACATACAATGCATTAGAAGTTTATTTATCTAGGGCATGCTATGCCTTAAAACTTTTCCAAATGCGCAAGTTTGTCTGTCCTCAGAGTAAATTTTGAGGTAAAAATGCAGCCATTTTAGCCAAAGGGTCCACATGAACCTTAAGGCTAATGCAAGTCTTACTTGTATTAATTATATAATTTTAATTGGCACGATATCACATTAAAATTTACTGAGAAATATTATACATAGTAATCATCAAAATGAATTACTGTAACAATGAAAATTCGGACGAATACACTCCTTTTCACTACCCCTCCATCTACTCATTTAAGTTTAGACCAAACAGCCTTAGCAACAGTCTTTTATTATTTTTCCCTGTAAATAAAAAGATTGATTGAATTTACTTACATTAAAACAAAAATACAATCTTATTTTCAATAAGAAACAAGAAAATTAATTCGAAACACAATTCATGATTTATTTCTCCTAATTTTCAATGAAAACAAAGTATTTTCTTCACTTTTCTTTTAACAAATTATTCATTTCAGAAATTTAAAAAATAAACAATAAATAATGTTGAAGACCGTACCTTGACCTATAATGGTTTACTTTTATAAATTGTGACTTGGATGGAGAGTTGTCTCATTGGCACTCATACCACATCTTCCTATATCTATTTAACCCAGCACATTTTTTATGTGTCTGTCCGAAGTCAAGAGCCTGTAGTTTGGTGGTTGTCGTTGGTTCATCTCTATCATATTTGTTGTTTTTCGTAAATTGTTTTGTTTTGAGTTAGGCCGTTAGTTTTCTTGTTGAATCCTTCCACAATTTTCATGTCGGGGCTTTTTATAGCCGACTATAAGGTACGATTTTTCGTTGTTGAAGGCCAAACGATAGCATATAATTGCTTACATACACTTTATTTGACCCTGGTGGATAGTTACCTTATTTGCAATCATACAATATCTCCACTGTTTATATTTGAAAAAAAAACCAGCACCAACAAAAGATGAATGGTCGGTTTTTTTTTTATTGAACTTACAAAATTTCACCCTGACAACAAATAAGACAACGGTCGTTAGTATTATAACGATATATGAATGTATTTAGGATAATATAGTTGAAAAAAACCTTTTTGTCTTTAAAAACACAAAGTCAAATAGAGGTACACAACGACGACTTCTGAACGAAATTAACGGCATATATTTATAATATTTGATAAGTAGTTTATTTTGTATATTTGTAAGCCGGTAAAGCTTTGATATAGCCAAAATATAGTCACTTGATATTATCTAAACTATGTTAGAATCGTAATAAGGATTTAGGTTTTATAGTCCATAATGTAGTAGCAGTAAATTAAGAATACCTATGCATACCTTAATTGTTTACTTTTTATTAATTTGGTCTCGAGCTTAACAAATGACACTTATTTTAGAAACATGTGATGTACGCACGGCATGCATACCACATGTTTTATTAGTTATTTTAGAATTTTAGAAAAGACATAATAAAAAAAAATATCCCTTTCATAATCATGAAATTTTTAATTGAAAATTTATATTGCGAGCTTTATTAGTACTGCTTTTATGGTTTCAGTAGATGCACTTACAGTTGTTAAGCGCAGAGAAATAATGAAGTGTGACTATATGTCCTCTTGATTGAGATACACAAGATGCTTATCTATTTACATCGGATACGAGAAGAACAAGAAATGATTGTAACAGGATGCTGTTACGAAGTCTCCCAAACGAAGCTCCCATAATTCGTAATTCCCAGGGTCGCCTGACATTGGGCAACGTCCAGTGAAAATTGGTTTGGTCCAGTAAAGTTATATGCATTAGTGATGCCTGGGGACTAATCTTGTATATTATTCAAATCATCTTGGCATGACAAACCAGAATATATATGGTTTAGGGGTGGGGATCTCGACCATTTACAAGATACTAGAACATTGGGGGTGGGGGGAACCCCTGGGGACTGACCCTATACGTCATTCAAATGTTCGTTACATGACGAACAGGAATATATATGGTTTAGGGGTGGGGATCTCAACCATTTACAAGATATTAGAACTTTCTCAAATGGCAAGGGGTCGGGATGACCCCTGAGGACTAACCCTGTATATCATTCAAACCATCTTCTCATGACAAACCAGAATATATATGGTTTAGGGGTTGGGATCTTGACCACTTACAAGATATTAGAACTTTCTTAAATGGCATGGGGTGGGGGTGACCCCTGGGGACTAACCCTGTATTTCATTTGATGTGCTTTATCATGACAAATCAGAATATATATAGTTTAGGGGTGGGAATCTCGACCATTTACAAGATATTAGAACTTTCTCAAATGGCAAGGGGTCGGGATGACCCCTGGGGACTAACCCTGTATATCATTTAAACCATCTTAGCATGAAAAACCAGAATACATATGGTTTAGGGGTGGGGATTTTGACCACTTACAAGATATTAGAACTTTCTTAAATGGCAGGGGGTGATCCCTGGGGACTAACCCTGTATTTCATTTGATGTGCTTTATCATGACAAACCAGAATATATATGGTTTAGGGGTGGGGATCTTGTCCACTTAGAAGATATTAGAACTTTCTTAAATGGCATGGGGTGGGGGTGACCCCTGGGGACTAACCCTGTATTACATTTGATGTGCTTTATCATGACAAACCAGAATATATATGGTTTAGGGGTGGGGATCTCGACCATTTACAAGATATTAGAACTTTCTCAAATGGCAGGGGGTCGGGATGACCCCTGGGGACTAACCCTGTATACCATTCAAACCATCTTAGCATGACAAACCAAAATATATATGGTTTAGGGGTGGGGATCTTGACCACTTACAAGGTATAAGAACTTTCTTAAATGGCAGGGGGTGGGGGTGACCCCTGGGGACTAACCCTTTATTTCATTTAATGGGCTTTTTCGTTTAGAACGGTTTTCAATTTATAATCATTTGAAAATTTTAAAAAATAAAATCCCATAGGGTTCTATAGTAAAACCCTCTTTTCTTTTTGCCCCTCAAACTACCCCTATATAAACCCCATTGCACAAACAAAACCCTGATTGCACCACTAGACATGTTAGTCTAACATATTGTGAAACCCTAAGTTAATCTGACAAGCGGTTTTGGAGAACGGGTGCGGACAAGTTCAAATTTAAAAGCGGCGGAAGAAGAAGAAGAAGAAGAAGAAGAAGAAGAAGAAGAAGAAGAAGAAGAAGAAGAAGAATAATAATAATAATAATAAGAACTGAGCAAAAACAATAAGTCTTCCCAAACTTCGTTTGGGAGACTTAAATATATATATTATATGTTTTTACTTTTTGTTAATACGTGAAGACATGATTACTATAAGACAATATAAATCAACCTTGCTACTTGTTTATCGGAAGTATTTAGTTTTTATGAGACATATGTCTGCTATTCTAATGGCCTTAACTAATTGGAGATAGCTTAGAGAGAACTTTGTATTTCTATGGCTTATAATCTGAGGTTTTCCCGTCAACCTTAACCGCATTTAGTTTTCGCACTTAGGCCAATTACTCACTTACAGCAAGTGCAGGATAAACCGTGTTTCATTTTAAGAGTGGTGGTAAGGATGATAGACTTTGATCACTTTCACTTAAAACTGTTGTTTAAGACAATATGTCTTGTTAATAAAACTCGCTACTGCAATCAATTGCTAAATAACTAAAACACTTTACATGAATATACATGTATTTCAATCTTATGCATAAATCTTAAAATTTTTGAATAAATTTCAATTACATATTTTTTTTTATTTTATTTCATTTTGAACTGGAGTATTAAATGAACCAAACAATAACTATTGCCAATTCGTTACAATGATATTTTGTAACACTTCACATAGCACAAAATTATCTAGCTTCGTACACTTATCTGATAATTTTGATGATTTGTTCTTTACAATTTAAGTTGTTAACGCTTCGTGTACCTCATGATTAGGTTGTTTTGTATACTAATCATATTATTGTTTGATAGCCTTTTACAGAAAATGACAAAAGACCCACATCTCATTAAATAATCCAAACTATTCAGCTTAGAAAATAGGAATACAATTATATAAATATATTTTTGTTTAGGCTGGAGTAGATATAGTATATCTAAGTATAACGAATCATGAAAAAAGCAATAAACATTTTAAATTGGCATTTGATTTAGCTACAATTCAAACTTGTCGCACTAAATATGAAATGATGTAACGCACAAATATTCCCTTTGGTGTTTATTGATCTACGGTAAGACTTCTTGATCATATATGGACGGGAATTTAATCGATTTCGGATCTCAAAAATATTTCACTGTATAAAATAAGACTTGAAATAAAGAGGGAGAATAAATGAGGAACCAAATAAAGAATTGGAATTGAATAAGGCGAAAACAAAATCGATAGAGATTAAAACCGATCGTTTTAGATAACAATTGAAGAGGTACTTAGACAACTTAGACAAAAAAATAATGTTTGATTTTTTCTGTTTCAAACATTTATAAATATAGAAACAATATTTCGCTATTAGCAGTCAGTTTGGTTCAATTTCGTCAAAATAAACTAAAAACATCTCTCGATAATTCAACTCCTTTGAATCCGTATTTATGCAATTTTTATTCTGACCTTTGGTGAAAAAGGCTGCACATGTGCTCAACATGTGGTTCGTCCATTTAAAAGGAAAATAATGTCGATATTGAAAAGTAAAACAAGGGAGACATTATGAATAAACGTTTCGTTGACTGATCCGTCCAACCAAAATTCATTCGGATAAATCATAAATGTAAAACGATGGTATACATATATATTTGATTTATAACTTGAAATCAAACAGACCTAGAAAAATCGTCATTATACGATAATACGTGTTTGTCTGGTTTATTTATAGTTTATATCGGGTTATATGAATGTCGGAAGATATCGGATGTCTTTTTTTTTGTTTGAATATTATAAATTTTAGTATGTTATAAATCTAATATGAGAATTGGGTCATATCGATGATCATGAAATTGACAGTTAATGCCCATTTAATGTTTAAAGGAACTTTTATACATATATGCCATTTTTTTTAATCACAATTAGGTTACCTTCGTAAACAAAAACGGTGTCGGAAGACAACTCACAAATTCCAAAAATATATAGTTTTCATTTCTTTTCTTTGAAATAAGGGATATGATCAGCTACTTTCTGCTTAAAAAAGTCACTTCCGTTGTCATATGATAGATTACTTCAGTGGCGGATCCAGGGGGGGGGGGGGGTCCGGGGGTTGGAACCCCTTTGTTTGACGATCAATGCATTTTGAATTGGGACATATAGTTGGAACCCCCCTTTTAAAAATGGCTGGATCCGCCCCTGTACTTTTCACTAATTACAAAAATATATGGTTTCGATATATTTCTATTTGAAATAAGGGAGATAATTGGCTATTTCTGATGTAAAATTGCCACTTTTTGTGTCATATGATAGCTTTCATTACACCGATTCTACAAATAATGGTTTCTATATACTTTCGCTTGCAATAAAGGAGATTATTTGCTACCTCTGGTTTACAAAATGTCCCTTGCGGTTCATCTGAAAGGTTAATTCACACTGATTCTGAAAATATATGGTTACTAGGAACTTTTACATGAAATTAGTGCAAAAATTGCAACTTCCGGTTGCCATGAGATCACCTGTAGGTCATATGTTGTCTAGCCTTATGGATTTATCATGTTCAATCAGAAGTTATAGCAAAGTTCAAATTTTGGAATGTCAAATTTAACTTTGAACCTGACCCGTATTCCAAGGTCAAATGTCATTGATCTCGTTTCAAAAGACCCCAGGAGCATTTCAGTTATGGTTAAGAAGTTATCCCACCAAACAGCTCATTTCGAAAAATTATGGGAGAAAACTCATATTAAAAGCCACCAGAACACCTCAACATAATGTATTGGCATAGTGTCATGTCGCAACTTACAATTAACCTGATGTCAATAACTTTTACGGTTTCTGAGGAGTTGCGATAATAAGCAAACTTCAAACAAAGAACATGACCTTGAACTTAATTAATCAGCTTAATGACTAAGGACATTGTTTCTAAAGCATCTAGGTCTCTATGACTTTTGGTTTAGGAGTTTCCACCCCCTCCCCCATCAAAAACAAAAAAATAAATCAAAAACAAAAGACATTTCCGAAACAAAAGTGACGGAAGAAAAATAGAAATAAACAAAAACCAAAATGTCTTTAAACGGGAAAATGGAAAGACCTAATTGGACCAAATAACAACAATGATGAGGAGTAGACTATTTTCAAAACGTATAGTTGGTAATTATTGCTTGCTATAAAAAACAAAACATTCTATAGCTATTGTTGGTTTTATAAAAATATGGAGATGTGGTATGATTGCCACTGAGACAAATATCCACCAAAGTTCAAATGAAGTAGATGTAAGCAATTATAGGCAATCGTAGACCTTCAACAATGAGAAAAACCCATACTGTATAATCGGCTTTAAAAGGCGCCGACATGTGAAATGTGAAACAATTCAATGAAGAAAACTAACGGCCTTATTTATAACAAAACAATTTTCGAAAAAAAAAATTGGATAGTGGTGTAACATCGTTTGTTGATGTGGTTCATAAGTGTTTCTCGTTTCTCGTTTTTTATATGGATTAGACGGTTGGTTTTCCTGTTTGAATGGTTTGACACTAATCATTTTGGGGTCCTTTATAGCTTGCTGTTCGGTGTGAGCCAAGGCTCCGTGTTGAAGGCCGCACTTTGACCTTATAATGGTCTTATAACTTTTACAATTTGTGACTTGGATGGAGAGTTGTCTCATTGGCACTCATACCATATTTTCTTATATCTATTAACAGTACAACATAAGTTTAATTTAGACGTGAATCTAACGAGATATGTGATATATGAGAACACAAAACCCCAAAAGACAGATAGATAGATGTCAACAAGCGACCGACGTTTAAACAATATGATTGACTGTTTGTTGTTTAACACCAATTCCAACTTACTTGTCTATAGTGTGGCGACAAGTTTTTATTAGCGGTGAAAGCCGGATTGTCCAGCGAGAACCACAGTCCTTCGGCATGTAAACTGGCTAGAAGTAAATTTGTTATGCTACCCTGTTAAGTTGAAAAGAAAATTGAAATAGTTAGAAATTTATGTCGGCTACTGGTGTAGAGAAAGCGATAAATTTTGCGGAAACTCTTTGTGATTAGCAAATTTAAGTGCAAGGGGTGCTCTTCATTCATACTTCTTATAAAATTCGAGAATCATAAAGTACCCTTACAAATTACCATTTTCAAAAATAAAAAAGCAGCAGCACCGCATGTATTTTGTGGATTTATTCACACACAAAGGTGTTGAAAATTCAGAATTTGACAGTTTTTTCAAATGATTATTATAGTGAAAATACAGAAAAACAAAAATGCTACCATTGTCTCTAATGCAAATAATTACTTCATTTTAACCTATAATTCTTATAAGCATTATGCATTAATTTATTCGTTTATTGTTACATTAAAATTAAATAACTCGAATTAATATCAAGCGATATCCAATTCTCACTCGTTATGAAACACATAAATATAGCTTTCTGCGATTCTCTTAAGTATTCTGTCGTTCAGTACTGATTATATCAAAAGTTTGATATTTATTTAGGGAGAATACCTAAATTTCTTATAGGTGTAACATTTAATATCAAAAGTTAATTGTGTGGATTCGTTAAGCACAGACATCAATACTGACACATACCTTTTCTACATTAAGGCACTGTTTTTGGAACTGTCACATGTTACATTTATACAAAATTAAAACTTTGTAGACTTATCTGCACCAGATCATTTACAAAGAAGGAATGTTTAAAATACAATTACTATCATCAAATCAAAATGAGGCATATTTATATGAGATGTAATTTTAATATG